TGTGGTCAATGTCATGAGGCAAAGTGTATGTGAACTGCTGTATGGAAAGTGAATTTGCTCTATAAATCTTCACCCAAATCACAATAAAAATAAATGAAAGAAAAGACTCTGAAACTTGCCCTTGAGCAGAGAGTAGCCAAAACAAATGGAAGAAATGACAAGATAAAAGAGCTGAACAGAAGAATTCAAAGAGCATCTCGAGCAGACAAAGCCAATTACTATAATGGAATGTGCAAAGACTTTGAGTTAGAAACCCAAAAGGGAAGAACATGCTTGGCATTTCTCAAGCTGAAAGAATTGAGGAAAAAAATTAAGCCTTACGTTGCAATATTGAAAGATTCTACGGGCAAAATATTGAATGATTCAGGAAGCATTGAAAGAAGATTGAAGGAATACACAGAATCACTGTACCAAAAAGAACTGGTCAGTGTTCATCCATTCCATTCAGGAAGTCCAATGAACCCCAAATAGGATAGACCCCAAAAGAAAATCACCAAGACATATCATTGTCAAACTCACCAAAACCAAAGACAAAAGAAGAATCCTAAAAGCAGCATGGGAAAAACAAAAGTCACCTAGAAGGGGCACTCATAAGAATAAGCTCTGATTTCTTGGCAGGAACCATGCAGGTGAGGAGACAATGGGATGGTGTGTATAAAACCCTGAAAGATAAAAATTTCCAACCAAAAATTATATACCCAGCAAAACTGTCCCTCAAATATGATGGTGAAATTAGGACATTTCTAGATAAGCAGAAATTCAAGGACTTTGTTAAAACTAGACCAACCTTACAAGAAATGCTAAAGGCAGTCCTTCGGACAGAGAACCAACAACAGCAAACAACAACTGACCATTAACACACATGATGACATAATCCAGAAACCAACCCAGTTGTAGAAGTATCCAAAGTAAATAAGCCCACAAGATTGTAAACAGGGAACCAGAGATATCAATTGACAAATGAGAACAACTACAAACCAAAAAGAAGGAAAAAAATTGTGTAGTTCAAGAACTTCTAAATGGTAGTGAAGTCAAGACAACTGCAAGATAGAATGGACTATTCTAAACTTGGGAAGAAAAATATAAATCACAGGGTAACCTCAAAGAAAATGATAAACCTTCACACCAGAATAAAAAAGAGGATCAGCACAAATATTGAACAAACAGTAAAACAATTACAACAAAGGAAGTGGTAACATGATTCACAAACAAAACGAGCTCAGCACAGAAAATTATATGGAACAAAGAATTGACACCACAAAAAAGGACATAACAAAATTACAGCTACAAGTTCACACGTGTCGATAATTACATATCTGACAAGGGACTTATCTCTAAAATTTATGGAAAACTTCAACATTTCAACAACAAAAAGAATAACAATCTAATTTCAAAATGGGCAGAAGACATGAATAAACACTCCACCAAAGACGATATTCAGGCAGCCAGCAAATACATGAAGAAATGCTCGTGATCATTAGCTATCAGAGAGATGCAAATAAAAACAACAGTGATACACCATCTCACCCCAGCACTAATGGCAAAGTTCAACAAGACAGAAAACAACAGATGCTGGCAAGGATGTGGAGAGATTGGGATTCTCATACACTGCTGGTGGGACTGTCAAATGGTACAACCGCTGTGGAAAAGCCGAGCAAATAATCCGAGAAGCTGGGTTGTATGAAGAAGAACATGGCATCAGGATTGGAGGAAGACTCATTAACAACCTGCC